CTTGTAGGACTTTTAAGCACTTAAAAGATTTTAGTTAAAATCTCTGGATTCAAATGGACTCGCATGCACATCCAAATCACACGACCACTTTAAGATGGCAGTTCAGACATCAAACTATATCTCAGTTATTAATCATAGCAGTGGTGTGGATTTGATTGACAGTTTGATACAAATAAGTCCTACACCTTAAAAAAAATAGCACATATGATGACAGACCTCAGACGGCTCACTATTTGATAATTATGGTATCTAATTATGTGTTTACATACTTTCTCTAGATTTTGGGATTAGCTTCTGCAATCCTGAGATTTCCCCAGTACTACTGTGTCTATATAAGGACATCCTCATACATGAGCATCATTTCTGAGACTCCTGTACCCAAAAGAAAAACACTGACAATCCACTGACCTCACCCTATGTCATCACATATAATCACATACCTGTGAGTTAGTTGGTTAGTATTCAGTAACCAAACAGTACAATTAATTTAATCCTCAAAGTTTAGCGTGTTGAATGTAATAAAGTAAAGTTTAAGACTCTGTATACAAGCTTTGCCATTTCAAACTCAGTTTTTCCTATATTTTCTCTCCCTCTCCCATAACCTTGATACTGCCTTGTCTCCTTTGATCTCCTTTGAGATGTGAGAGATTTGGGATGTTTAGCATATTTGGAGTGTGTAGTTACTGTTTTGTGTTGTTAGTGTGTAGTGTAGTCAGTAGTTTTGTTTTGTGTGTCAGAACAATGAGGCCACTGCTAATTGTAACAGTTGCTACCAATAAGCCACCAAAGACAGACTGCAGTGTAAACGCTGTTATCAGGTGGAAAAGAGGAGGAGTGATACACCTGTCGTCAGGCCAGCAGGTGCACGTATCAGCTTGTGATGTGCTCCTCTTTCTAATGGTGGACACATTTTTTTTTGGAGTGGCACAAATAATTTGTGTGGCATATTATTTGATGCAGAACACTGGATTTTTCTGTAAATAGTTTGAAATGGTTATAGAAAAAACACATAGGCTGCATTTTTAGCTAAATAGCTGCATGCAACTTTGTGTTTTGCAAAACTTGTGCATATATTTTTAAAATGCACAATTTATTTTTGCATTTCAAGTTATGAAAATGATTCATTAAACATGTTTGTGGTTGTTACAGTAAAAAATATGACTTTAACTCTAACTTTTTTGTCTCATTTTAAGTCAGTTCTTTTAATACAGTATGTCAAAATCAAAAAATAACTGTAAATTCAGACATGTGAGGTTCCAGTTTAGATTAGGGAGACAGACACTATAAAGAGTAGGCTTTAAATGTTTCTTTTTGCTAAAGCATATAGTTAGGCCTGGATCAAATGACTCTTAATGCAGCTGATTATAGACATCACGCAGCGAGTGTTTCTTCATCATTTACCATGCATTTATGTATTACTCGTCATTTAATTATTAGTTAATATTCATGTCTGTGTAAATGTGTTGTTGAACAACCGTTGTCAAATACAATTATACATCATAGCCTGTGATTTTATGATAGTTGGAGCAGATCCTTCCACTAAATGGTACGCAGGCGGTCAAAGTACACACTTGCCTTATTCACGTTCAGCACAGCCGAAGATCCTGTAGCGTGTTGAACGCAGGTGCAAACTCACTCAGAGAATCAACCGGTAAGTGTGTGATGTTACTTAAATACAGTTTTATTTTATTTCTAATGGTGGTTCTTTATTGTAGTTCTAATTTGATAAATTGCAGACTGGTTTTCTTATTTTATAAACTGTGTTAACTCTATTTGTTAGCTAAGTTTTCATTATATAGAGAACACTATATTTTAAGTTTTTCTTCTGTTAGCCATCATAAAAATAGCGGCCAACCAGTACAGCTTTCTTTTCTTGAACAGGAAGTAGTTTAAATCTAAACAGAATCAGAGTCAGAATCTAAACACTTTTCTTCTTCCTTGTCTTAGGCTACCTTTATTTTTGGTGTTGACTGTGCTGGACTTTGTGATCAAGCGTATAACTAACACAAAATGGCAGTATTGGTAAGTTGTCTTTTGTTTTGTTTTGTTTTTTGATTGACTAATTTACCCTTTGTAATCCAGTTTAAGGTATATTTGTTTTTGCTGATCAAAAACACAGATTGCCAAAGGAAGGTCTGTGGCAGAAAAAAAAAAGGAAAACAAAATAATTAGCTTTGCAATAAAAGCATTTTTTTATTGCATAGTCTACATCAGTATTCAAATTGGTATTTTGTTTCATGTCATTGGCTAAATTTTACAAGATGATCAGTATTTTTTTGTTCACCTGTTATTGGTGATCTCAGCTGATATTTTTACTTGTTTATGCTTTTTGATGTCTTAAAGTCATGATATACTTTTAAGTAATTAAAATTTGGCAGCATTATATTCTTTTTCCAGAACTCCCAATGTGGTCAACTCACTTTGAAACGTCATCTATGCGCTTTGTTTTTTCACCACACTGTGATCCTACTCCTTCTGACAGATATAAGGACAGGTAACATCTACACAAACGTTATCAGCTAAAGTAAATACTTTACACAAAATATATCCTTCTTGGAGGTCTGTGTATATTTTATAATTTGTTAGGTGTACAAAAATATAAATGAAACTGAGCAGTCAAGCTTAAGCTGCAGATAATCTAAGAACATTAGATAAACATGACTGTGAGATACAAACTTTGTCCTGTCCTTTCAGGTCAGTCTCAGACAGTAACATCTTCTCAAACAATAATCACAGTAGTTGGTGAGGATGTCATCTTACCATGCTACCTTGACTCTGCGTCAGACGCTGTTTCTAAGATTCTGGAGTGGGG